GTGGAACCTTTGCAGCTGGTGCAGCTCCATATTCCTCTGAGGCATGCACGGCTGGTGGCTGCATCTTGTCTGTATTTCTCCGTAAAAGAGCTTAGTGCTCAGGGCATTTTCCTCTCTTGCAGTGCTCACTCATCATTGTATTTTCTTTCATGATTTTCATAAATGTCTTAGCTTGACCTTGAAGGTGTAGGCCTCTGTTGTGTGTGTGTGTAGGTATGTATGTACTTTTCACTGTTTTTTTTTTTTTTTGACATTTTAAAAACTCATTTCAGTGAATGGAAGGAGTAACAATTTTCTCAATATTTGCTACAGTTTTACTATTAAGGCACATTTTAGACTACCTGACTAGAGCTCAATCCACATTGTACGTATCTGAAAATAATGCTCTTTAATTAGAAGAATTCCCCAAAAGTGTCAGTTTTATTCTAAGCAAGATTTAAATATTTTTATCTAATTCCCAGGAATTCTAAGATAAATGTGCATACTTCCCCCCCATGTAAGTTTAGTCATTTTTTTACTGTACAAATAGTATATGTTTTTCTAAAAAATTCTAACCAGCTAATGTAAACAAAAAGGAATATATTTAAAGAATACATAGTAATTCTTAGATTTGTCAGGAAGGCTTGAGGTCCTGGTTATGAACAGGACGGAAACCAAGGCCCCTTGTTCATGTTCCCTATTACTACTGTTGCCTTCTGCTCCTGAGGCCGCTGCCTGGGTCTGCACAGAGCCCAAAAGCAGGGCACCTCCTGGAGTGTGAGCGTGCATTTTTGTTGGGTGAAGTGTACTTAGGGGTGGGATTATGGGTTAATGGGGTCACCACTCAGCATGTTTAACAGCAACTACCTTACTCTCCATTGCCTCTTTTTAGGGTTATTATATTGATGTTCTTGGTATGTATTTCTAATAAAATCTTTTTGGTTCTCAGATCTTTTTTGGTTGCTACCTGATCTTGTTTTTTCAATGCATTATTGGTATGAATAATTGTGCAGTTAGACTCTTTGACAGTCCTTCCCCTTCCTTGGCTATTTATGTGCCTCTTTCCGTCTCCTGTGAGCCTCCCCTTCTGTGAGGCGCGTGATCTTTGCCCTACGTCTGTAGCTGCTCTCTCCCCCGTGACTGCACCCTTTCTCATGATTGTAAATACTAGTCATCTGTTCTTGATTTCCAAGTTTTGGTTCCCAGCTAGTTTTCGTCCCTGAATTCTGGGCTTTGAATTCTTGTCCTTTGGTGTCTGGTAGACGTTGCAACTTAGTGGGTCTGAACTGGGCTTCTGAAATCCCCGCAAATCCTGTTTCCCCAAACCCTTACCCATGTCAGTTGATGGCAGCCGCATCCTTCCCTTCCTCAAGTCAGAAAACCTGGGAGTCACTCGGACCCCAGTCTTTCTCCTGCAGTCTATTGGAACTTGGCGCTTCGCTCCCTGACGCTCCTGTGTCCCCCAGCCCCGCTGTTTTGATCTCTTGTATCCCAGGCTCCCAGAATAGCAGTCAGTGCTCCACAATCACTTTCTGAATGAACTTTGTTTCAGTGATCTCTGTTTAATTTTGTCCTCATCTTTTAAATTATTGATTCTCTTAATTTTAAGCCTAATGACTTTTTTTTTTTGTCTGTGCAGATTCAAAAGTGAATCTCTATGAAAGGGGGGACATCGGAGGGGGAGACGAACCATGAGAGACGATGGACTCTGAAAAACAAACTGAGGGTTCTAGAGGGAGGGGGTTGGGGGGATGGGTTAGCCTGGTGGTGGGTATTGAGGAGGGCACGTTCTGCATGGAGCACTGGGTGTTATA